TGACGTTAAATTGCACTTCTCAATCATATTAACTAGGTATGGAAATTAAAACAAAGAGAGAGAGAGAGACATGCATGAAAGGGGGGGGGGGGAAGATGATTCAATGACACAAGCTAATAAAAGTAAGGGCGTACTAGGAATATTGAAGGCCAACAGTTTTATTTTGAAGCTTTAGAATTAAGAAACTTAACCAGAATTTTCTATAATATTAAGAATCTATTTAGGCTACTATTTTGTTGAGGACAATGTCATACTGATGACACAGAATGCGGATATGAGGCTGTGGGCTTCACACATGAAATCCTCATGCGTTCATGTGATGAAGGAAGAAATCTCCTCTCTCGATAGTGTGGTGGCACTGTGATAATGCTATGATGTGATATGGTACCCAAGGACTCTCCTGGCCACATACTTCAAACCCAGTAAGGCCAAGGGCAGTCTGATTCTAACCTGCATCATTCGCCACCTCTGTAAGTTTCTTGTGATTCTTTTAGAGAAAGAGACACATATGTATATACTGTGATGGTGATGACTGTCAGCTCTAAAAGATGACCTGGTGGAGTGGGCAGCGATGGTTTCATTCTTTCTATCCGTAAGAGGCCGTTTTGCCTGTACCTCTCTAGTGGAAGGCAGACTAGCTCATTTGTAGTTTGTTTACTTCTGATGTTTTTGAAGGTGAGGTGGTTTTACTTCAGGTCAGAGTACACTGCAACAAAAAAAAATGTCTTTGCAATAAAAACACCTCCAGACCTTTGCTTGAGAGGCCAGGTGACTCAAGTTGTACATGGCAGACCACAATGGGAACTTTGGGAGTATTTTCCCCAGCCCCTCAGGTGCCTCAGTGCCACAGACATGCACAGACTTGCTGAACAGGACACTACCAGATGCTAGGGCCTGTGGTACCCACCCAGGGCATTCTTTCTTCCTGTTCAGTGTCTCACTGAGGCTGGTAGGAAACTTCATTGAGTTACAGTAAGGTGTCTGGCTACTCTTGAGCATCACTCTCGATATCGTGTTAAGGATACAAAGCAATGGAAAATGATCCCATGGACATTCATGTTAAATTAATTCATGGTTTATTCCTACACCAAAGCTATATATATATTTTTGAGACAGAGTCTTGCTCTGTCGCCCAGGCTGGGGTGCAGTGGTGTGATCTCAGCTCACTGCAAGCTCTGCCTCCTGGGTTCACGCCATTCTCCTGCCTCAGCCTCCCAAGTAGCTGGGACTACAGGTGCCTGCCACCACACCCGGCTAATTTTTTTTATTTTTAGTAGAGATGGGGTTTCACCATGTTAGCCAGGTTGGATTCGATCTCCTGACCTTGTGATCTGCCCGCATGGGCCTCCCAAAGTGCTGGGACTACAGGCATGAGCCACCGTGCCCGGCCACCAAAGCTATATTTCAATTGTTTCTAAACAGAAATTGTTAAATTGCTCATGTAATAAACTGGAGATTACTTTTTGCCTGCATGGTTTACTTTTTGCCCAATGAATGATACGAACATAATTTTAGAGGGAAATGTTTAGAACGTTTAGAAAAACACTATTCGTCAGCCTTTTAAAGTTACATTTTTGAATGATTCAAAACAATCAATTCAAGAGGGAGAGAAGGGGATGGGGTTAATATGAGGAATCAACTCTACCGCTGATGTTTCCACTCTATAGATGACATTTTGTTTTAAAAAATACAAGTGACTGGAGAAGGCTGGGTAGTGGCTACTTTGGGGTTCATTTATTTCCATATTTGTCTATAAGTTAAAGTGCTTTATAATAAACCCTTTTGAAGTATCTTTTGTATAGGATTAGAGAATTTAAAAAAACAATGTCTGTTATAAATTACTTTTACTATAAATTTTCTACCTGACAACATTTTTTCCACTACATGAAGTACCTAAAAAAGCAACATTTTTGGAAGGCTCATTCGTGTGTGTTTCTGTATACATGTCTTTTATATATATATATAAAACATGTTATAATTCAGATTCTTAATCTAATCTATTGCCCTCATTACTTTGTATTGGAGAAATCTTACTTTTTAAAGTCTAGTTAAAGAAAAATTAAGCCAAAATATGAAAGATGAAGATTTTCAGAAATGTGGGTAACCAGTGATTTATATCTGAGGGAGCGCTGGCAAGATGCCTGATACTGGCTTACTGGGACAGATGCCACTTTCCAGCTTGTTCTCCCAGTTCCTATTGCCTGCTGGAGGAGGTTCCAGGATTTCACGTCAAGTCAGTGTGACAGAGCTCCCATTAGTTTCTGTCACCTAATTAATTGCATGCAAGCAGCAGAGGCCATGTTCATCTGGGCCATGCACTTGGTTCAGGATACAGTTTAGGGGAGGAGAATGCAACCTGGAAGGGTTGAATAGTGGCCTCAAAGATGTCCCCAAAGATGTCCACATCCTAATCCCTGGAACCTGCTAATATGTTACCTTCTATGGCCAACGCGACTTTGTGGATGTGATTAGGTGAGAATCCTGAGATGGGGAGATTCCATTGGAATATCTCAGTGGCCTTGATATAATCATAAGAACCCTTATGAGAGGGAGTAGGAGAGTCGGACCCAGAGAAGATGTGGTTAGGGAAGCAGAGATCAGAGGGATGTGGCAAGAGCCAAGGAATGCAGGTGGCCTCTAGAAACTAGTGAAGTCAGGGGACAGATTCTCCCCTAGAGCCTCCAGAAGGAAAAAGCTTTGTCACCATCTTGATGTTAGCCCACTCATGTGATTTTGGACTTCTGACCGCTGGAAGTGCAAGATGGTAAATGTGCATTGCTCGAAGCCACTCAGTTTGTGGTTATTTCTTACAGCAGCCATAGGAGATGGATACAGACAGTCTTGTGCTTGAGAAAGGATAAGCCACAGCTTGGTGGGCAGGGAAGACCTCCTTCCCATCAGAGATTGTGGGGCTCAATGAGAACGTGGAAAGGGTGAGGATTAAGTCCTCCACAGTGCTGGCTTTGTTTCTGTAGAGACGAGGTCTCATTTTGCGTAGGCTGGACTTAAACTCCTGGGCCCAAGCGATCCTCTTGCCTCGGCCTCCCAAAGTGCTGAGATGACAGTTGTGAGCTACCATGCCTGACCCGGTACTGTCTTTAAATCAGATTGCCCAGATTCATACCCTGGCACCACCATTTATTAGCACTGGAATCTTATATAATTGAACCTCTGTCTGCCTTTGTTCTCCCATTTACAAGCATAGGAATGATAACAGAACTTGCTCATAAACTTGCTATAAGGTTTAACTGACATAATCCATTCAATATGTTTGCATAGTACCTGGCACAAAGTAAAGGTTCTCTGAAGATTGACTGTTTTTATATGAGTCCTCAACTATTCCGAGGCTTTGCCATGTGTTTATAGCTGTTTTATAGCTGTTGAATTTTATTACCACATTTAATAAGGCCATTCCTTCTTTTGGGAAACCACATAAATTATGCATTCTTCACTTACAGAAATCTAAAAGAGATACCCACTTATTCTGGGGACAGTGACATGGTGGCTCAATGCGTGGTCCTTAGATTGATGGAGTCTTTGTTTTAATAAGGGGCACAAAAATAAATATACCTGCATTTGTTTTCTATGTGAACAACAGATGTGTTCCTTGCAATGAGAGGTCTTTGTGGTTATCTGTTTAGGTTTTAGAGGATGCTTAGGTTTGCGTTCTTCTACCTATTCTTATGCTCACATAAGAATTTCAGATTTCTTTAAGACAGCAGAAGTCTTCTCAGAGTGAGGAGGACCACATGATGGGAGTAGCGGGAGCTGAACTAGGGTCACTGTAGTGCTGGAGTTATGAGAATGCTGGAAACTTTGCAGATCATGACCAGTATTTAGCTTATGGCATGGCTACCACTTAGTGGAAGGCAGGGTGGCTCCCTCTAATCCCATCCTCCTGTTTCATTCTATAGGACCTGTGTAATGAAATTCTTTTGGTACTTTGTAGTAATTGTGTCTCCTTAGATTGGACCTACCATGAACTGTCACCAAGCTCATCCTAAATTCCCCTCTGTGGGTGGCATCTGAGTTGATCAGGGGTAGCGTCCTCGACAGAGAGGGACCCACTTGTGTAGTAAGGCAAGAAGACAGTAAAGAACAAGTTGAGGTTGGGCAATTCCATACAGCGGAGGCACATGGTGTGTGCCCAGGTGGAGAGAGGGCAGATGTGAAACTGGAATTCTCCACTGAGGGAAGTGTGTGAAGAGCTTCAGGAGTGTGGACCTGATCCTGGTGCCCTTCCTTTTCTACAGGTGCCATATTCCAGTAGATATCATGAGAGTGAGAATAAAGGGCTCTGTGGTCTCAAAGTTTTGGAAATACTGGGGAGAACAAGCAAAAGAGTTTCTTTGGTTTAGGAATTCTCAGAGCCTGTTAAAACCTTTTGAATTTCCCAGAAGTGGATACAACAGATACATAGAAATGAGACTCAGAATTAAGGACAAAAAGAAGTGAGCGGGTCTAAGAGATATTTAGAATGAAGAATCGAAAACAGTTGTGGACCAATAATATGGCGGGCGGCTACTGGGGTGTGACAGGGAGAGAAGTCTAATACAAGCCCATTTTCAAGTTTAGGATTTTATACAATAGAATCCTTTTAGATAATAGAGGAACAGGGCATATATGGGAAAATACATCAGTTTACAGAAAGATAATGAGTTTCAAATTTATTTTGGACTTGTTTTATCTGAGATACAGAAAGGAGAACTGATAGTGTCAATGTCCATAGACCTTTAAGCATGAATCTGGGGTAAGGGAATTGAGGGACCAGAACGCTGGGCGGAGCAGAGTAGTTCAGCCAGGGTTGCTAAAGAAGACCTCTGGAGATTGTAGGATTTCCAAGGTTTACATGCAAATCACATTCACCTCTAAAAATCATTTGATGATGTTGTAGTCTTGGGCAGAAGAGTAGAGCCATAATTTAGCTCTTAAGTGCTATCTCTTGCATTCTGATTAGGATCATTGTTAGGTTTCAAGAGAAGCTGAATCTTGTCTTTCAGAATCACTGCTTGTGCAATGACTATGAATAAGTACGTGGAAGAAAATGTATCTCAGAAATCCTACACGACCATCAAGTACTTCATGAAGATGCTGAGCAGCGTCAGCGAGACCTTGATCTTCATCTTCATGGGCGTGTCCACCGTGGGCAAGAATCACGAGTGGAACTGGGCCTTCGTCTGCTTCACCCTGGCCTTCTGCCTCATCTGGCGAGCCCTAGGTAATGAGTTCTTGTTTGCTAAATGGACATATGTGACACTCACTCACTGAATGGAGCTTTCCTTTTGTCACTCCCTTTCTGCTGTTGAGGCTTCTTTTTTATCTGCTTAATTTCTTCTTCTTTCTTACCTACTTCTTCCTCCTCTTCTTCCTCTTCCTCCTTTACTTTTTTCTCTTCTACATTCTCCTCTTCCTCCTTTTCTTCTCCTTTCTCATTTCCTTCCTCCTCTTCTCTATTATCTTCTTCCTTGTCCTTCTGTTTCTCTTTTTCCTCCTCTTCCTTCTCACCTTCCTCTTCCTCTTCCCCTTTCCTTCCTCATTGGCCTCTTCATCTTCTCTCTCTCTTGCTCTTCTCGCCCCTTCCTGATATACTCTTTTCTTCTCTGAGTATCTTCATGCTTTGTTATAAGTCAGATTAGTTTGTCTTGTCTTCTCTGATTTCACATTTTCACCCACGATCCTGGAACAACATCAAAGACCCAGAACCTGGTATTACTAGCAAGACAGAGAAAAAGGGGAAAGACTTTGGGGCCTATTCTTAAATCCTTTGTCCCTGTCGCAGAAGCACAGAAAATGAGTCTATGTGTTTTCATATTCTGGCGTCACCCAGTCTGTTTCCTCTTGGGTTTTCTTTCTTTGCAGGTGTCTTTGTCCTGACTCAGGTCATTAATAGGTTCCGGACCATTCCCCTGACCTTCAAGGATCAGTTCATCATTGCCTATGGAGGACTGCGAGGTGCCATCTGTTTTGCACTAGTGTTTCTCCTTCCTGCTGCTGTGTTTCCTCGGAAAAAGCTGTTTATTACGGCTGCCATTGTTGTCATATTCTTTACTGTCTTCATTCTGGTGAGTACAGTAATCCCTTTACCAGGAGGGCAAAAAATATTGTTCAGAATATTGGATTCTGTTTACAGGATGCAAAGTAGCAAAGGTGTGTTGAAACTTTGGTAGTTAGTTACTAGGGAAAATGATATTTCCTGTCTGGGTTCATGTCATTAGATTGTTGAGGGGCCTTAGAGAGTCCAATTTGGTCACTTGGCCTACACAGAGAAATTATTATTTAAGGAAACTAAACTAAGTGCTCTAATCTTATGACTGGAAACTTAGGAACTGCACTTGCTAATGCTTATTATTTTTCTGACTTAGCGAATGCACTTGTTCAATGCTAGTTGTGCATATGACCTTACAACAGCTATTTGACCCCTATGAGTTGACTGCCTAGTGGTGACTCCCCTGAAATGAGGAAAGGATGAATGCACGTTTAATACTGGGAGGCAGAAAGTATGGTGGGCCTGTGTCCAGATCCCTACTTTCCAAATTAATCAATCTCTTTAAGTTAAGATGCCAACTCTTAGAAGATTATATTTTGCAGATATTCATTTATTAAATATTTACTGGACTCCTGCTAAGGGCCAGGCAGTGCTCTAGGAGCCGGAACATATAAAGATCCCTGTCCCTGCTGCAGAGCTTACATTTCAGAGGGGTTGGTAGCACTAGACAAGAAACACAAGTAAATCATAGAGCATGTTAGAAGGTGAAAATTGTTATATAAGAGGGATAGAGTAAGGAGTCAAGCATGATGAGGGTAAAGTGGTGGGGGAAACGCTACAATTCCAACATCAAATGGTCATGAAAGGGAACAGCAAGAAAAATGAGATTTGAGCAAAGGCATGCAGAAGGTGGAGGAATTAGCTAAGCCCAAGAACATCCCAGGCAAATGGGCTGAGGGATCAAGTGTGTTCTGACGGCAGTGTGCTCTTGGCCAGTGTGGCGGAGTGGCACAGAGTGTGGTGTGGAGTGTAGGAGAATGAAGTGAGGCAGGTTCTGGAGTCCAACATCATGCAGGTCCGTGCAGGCCAGTGTATGAAGCTTGGCTCTTCCATGGGGAGCTATTAGAAAGTGTCATGCAGATCCCTGATATGTTCTGACTTCCTTTGTAAAAGGATCACGCTGGCTACTGTGTTGCGAATAGACTGTTGTGAGGAAAGGGTGGATGTGGGAATCCAGCATGGAAGCCCTGCAGTCATCAGGCAGGGCCAGGCTGGTGGAAGTTCAGTTGGTGAGAAGTGGTAAGATCCTAGAATACTTTCTGATGGAGCAACCCATGGGATTCCCTGATGGGTTAGACATGTTGTGAGGGAACGAGGCGTCACTCAGATCTCCAGGGGTTTTGGCCTGAGCAGCTAGAAGGATGCACTTGCCCTCAGTTGAGAAGGGGAAGTCTGTGCATGGCAGAGGTGGGGGTGGGGAGATTGTCAGTTCAATGATGGGCATGCTGCATTAGGCGTGTCCATTAGACCTACAGTGGAGATAAGGATGAGGCAGATATTATGAATCCGGAGCTCAGGAAAGGGGCTCTCTGGCCACTAGCAGAGAATTGGTATTAGAAGCCATGAAGCTGGACGTGATTGTCAAAGGAGTGAAAATATATATTGAAGAGACCACAATAGAGGAGGAAGGATTAGGCCTTGGGGCAGCCCAACCTTATGACATCGTGGGAAGAAGGGAGCAGCCAAGAAGAACTGAGAACGAGCGACTGGTAAAAAAGGAGGAAGATCAGGAGGTGTGCCTGTGTTTTAAAAATGTATTCATATTTATTTAACAGTTTGTCACCGAATGCTTTCTGGGTGCCTGATGCAAATCTAAGCGTCTTACATGTTAATTCATTTAACCCTCATAACAACTCCATGGAACATAACTCTAGGAATCATGGTTTATTATCCCTATTTTGTGGGTGAGGAAAGTGGGGCACTGACACTGAGGTTAAGTCAGTTTATCAAGTTTGCACAGATATAAAAATGTAGAGCAGAGTCAAAACCTATTTGCTTTTGACCCTGAATAAGGTGTCCAGGAGAGAGCCTGGTGTGTAGCAAGTGCTTAGTATTGTAATGCATCATGATTTTCCTCCTTCCTTCTAGTCATTTCTTCAAAAGACAGTTCATCCTTCATTCATTCATGCCTTCCAACACTGGGGACAGCGAGTCCTCTGGAATCCTGGAGAAGACCCTTTCCTGAGTTAAGATGACCACCTTCTGTTATTGTCTTTATTATCAACACCTTTCTGCTTTTGCACAGTAATATGGGCCAGAAATGGTGACGACTTGCCCTTGGGAAGTAGTGGCAGAGCTGAGAAAAAGTAGATGCAGTCCTCTTTATTTTGGAAGACTCTTCAATGAGACTTTATGGAGAAGTAAGCCAAAGCAGGGCAGAGGATCAGCGGAAGGATGACTGCCAACTCTTGTATTGTGTGGAATGTCAGAGAGCTTGTGGGGACAGGGGAGGCTGGAAGTCAGGAAGTTCATGTGAGATGGATCACCTGTTCTCAGTGATGTAGGGGCCTGGCTTTCCCTGAGTGTGAAGAGGACAGGAGGAGGATAGATGGGAGGAGAGAGATGAAGGTGGGTAAAGGCTGTGATAGAAAAAGAGAAAGCCTGAAGCAACAAACGGAACAGTTGAGATGTATTAGCCACATTTGGTATTGTGAACACATCAAGCTAATCCTCCACTAAGGGAGACATCTGGGGATCATTGTCTAGAGCCTGCAGGTGTAGAGATGTCAGTCTTTCCTCTGATGAGGTTTAAGGAGAGTCTGGCCAAGTTCACTTGGATATCCACAGAGAAGAGAAATTGCTGCGGTTCCACTTGTGTTGATATCTTCCTTTTCCTGTTCTCTACCTACCCTTGTGTGTGCACAGATTGGAGACTGCATGCATATTGCTTGGTTCCTTGACTCTGCCCACATCCTCTTCCTCCTATTCTCCTACCTACCACTGGTTCTTAAGAGACTCTGAACACACGCACGTGCACAAGCGTGCATGCACACACACATAAATACACACATACTCCCTTCAGAAAAGGTGTCTTTTCCAGAATACATCAATAATTAAGGAATTCAGTGAAGGAAGCCTGGAGGGAAATACTTGATGAGATACAAATATAGCAGGAATAACTAATTATAAATCCATGCATAAAATGTTGCCTTTCAAGTAAGAATTATGTATTCTTTTTCAAATGACAGCTTTTATGTTGATGGACCGATTACTAAACTTTAAATATGTTTTTCTCCCCTTATTTTAATACTTTATATGATAAGCTCTTCCAACCTGGTGCTACTGAGTTATAACTATTTTCAAAAACAGGATTTTACACGATGTATGATGCATTATTTGATATCACAGTTTATCAGGAGAATTTTCACACTGTTTGAATCATGTTGCTCATTAGCAAGTGATGTAGTCTCTTTATGAGGCACACGATCATGTTAGTAGAATACGGTCCTGTTTGGGGAATTTTTTTGTTTTTTTTTCTTGAGATAGAGTCTCACTCTGTCACCTAGGCTGGAGTGCAGTTGCATGATCTTGGTTCACTGCAACCTCTGCCTCCTGGGTTCCAGCAATTCTCCCACCTCAGCCTCCCTGAGGAGCTGGGATTACAGAAATGCACCACCACACCCAGCTAATTTTTATATTTTTCGTAGAGATGGGGTTTTGCCATGTTTGCCAGGTTGGTCTTAAACTCCTGGCCTCGAGTAATGCACCTGCCTTGGCCTCCCAAAGTGCTGGGGTTAAGTGTGAGCCACCACCATGTCCAGCCGTGGAATCCTGAATGAGGAAACAATTCTGATTCCTTGGACATTTGAGTTCGTTTTTTTCCAATATGATTGGTAATTTTATTTATATCAAATATAAGCTATTTCTCATGTATTTAAATGATATTCAAAATTGGGGAAGGTGGAGGACAGTTATATAAAGCGCAGTTTTAGAGTACGGCATTGTGGGTTGCTATTCTAGGCCTGTTTTTTGCAGCCTCTGTGGGCCTCGGTTTACTTAGCTGTAAAATCTAGACAATGGTCCAGGCAGCGCAGGGGAAATATATGTATAGAGTATGACACCTGACACAGGGTTTTCACCTCACGAGTTGCCATGTTTAATATACTACATTAAGAAAAGTTGTAACGAGGCCGGGTGTGGTGGCTCACGTCTGTAATCCTAGCACTTTGGGAGGCCAAGGCAGGCGGATCACGAGGTCAGGAGATTGAAACCATTCTGGCCAACATGGTGAAACCCTGTCTCTACTAAAAATGCAAAAATTAGCTGGGTGCAGTGGTGTGTGCCTATAATCCCGGCTACTTGGGAGGCTGAGGCAGGAGAATTGCTTGAACCAGGGAGTCGGAGGTTGCAGTGAGCTGAGATTTTGCCACTACACTCCAGCCTGGCGGCAGAGCAAGACTCCTTCTCAAAACAAACAAACAAACACAAAAAAAGTGAAAGAAAACTTGTAACAGAAGAAAGAAAAAGGTGAGCTCTTTCAATATACTTTTCTTTGGACGGAAAAATGATTAGAGTACAATAATGATTATGTAGTTAATCCCTATGGCAGATCTCAAGAATTCCGTAAATGTATTAAGTGGTTATCTAGAAGTCCGTCAAGTGGGAAGGTTACCCAAAATTCAATAGAGAGCAGCCTCTTTTGCACATTAGTGATGTAACTTATGTTAAGTCACTGTGCAGAATTGTGAAGCATCTGGGGTTTTATTATACTTGTAAGCTAACAAGTTCGCCTGTTACTATTTCATGAATGCTGCAGAAGACTCCTGAGTCAAAGACAAAGGACTTTTTTGTCCACGACAAAAGCTGTAGCCACAGCCTTGTGTTGGTTTGTGTCAGTTTTCCATACCTCGTTGTCCCATGGGGGTGACACAAGGGACCTGTGATGGATGTCTGCACATGTCATGGTCTGTATTGCAGGAGGGGGACACGGAGTTTGGGGATATATTGCTCTCTCAGAAGGGTGATCTTACTTTATTTCTCAAGAGTGCTCATTGCTTGCAACCCTGAGAAATGGCC